TGGGCGCTCGGGTCGGGCCGGAGGTCGCGGGGCCGCGCGAGCCCCGGGTCTGAGCGACGGGTGGCGGGGTGGCGCAGCCATGACCTCGGTGTGGAAGCGCCTGCAGCGCGTGGGCAAGCGGGCCGCCAAGTTCCAGTTTGTGGCCTGTTACCACGAGCTGGTGGTGGAGTGCACCAAGAAATGGTGAGTGGCGAGTCTCCCGGGAGGCGCGGGGCTCCCCAGACTTCTGGGATCCCAGCTTTGGCTTTGGAACCTGAGAATCCTGCCCCAGCCCACTGCCCAAAAGGGCCTGGGCCCTGGTGTCCCAGCCATGAGACTCCAGAGTGTCCTCTGCAGCCTGTGGAAGCCGGGGACTTGGGAGGTGTGAGCAGTTTACGGGGCGAGGAGGTCAAGCCCTCCGGGCCTGAGGGCCCATCTGCACCCTGAGAATCAGCTGCACTCAGCTCTGGGTGGTTTGGGCCAGAGGGACGGCATGGGGTGGCTTGGGCAACAGGAACAAGTTTTGCTGTCTCTGGGGTGAGGGGGGCTGGGACAGAAACTTCCATGGAAGTTAGTTCCCCTGGGAACAGGAATGTCGCCCCCCACCTCCCCTGGCCACTCCTCAGGCCAAGCTGAGGTCCCCACCCGGTCAGCTGGAGTGGGCCCTTGGAGGTGGGAACTGCTCCACCATGTCCTTAAAAGGGGAAACTGAGCGCCGAGAGGGACGAGGAGGGAGGCAGGAGCTTAAAGGGGCTCGGAGGGCCGACGAGATTGTGGGTCCAGGAGCAGAGGGCCTGTGGAGGGCCGGGTGGCAGAGTGGGGGAGCTACGTGAGGAGGTGGGGGACAGTCCGGACTACTGAGGCCCCGGGCATCTTGTTCTCGTGCCCCGCCCGGGCTGCCCGAGCCCCTGCGTCACACCCTAAATATACGCTGGCTGGTGTCAGCTTCCCTTGGCTGGATTAGGGCACAGCTGTGGGGGCCTCACTGGCCAGGCAGGGCTAAATTTAGGCTCCCAAGGGGAAGGGCTGTGGGGGCAGGAAGGGACCATGGTGCTGAAGGGGAGGGGAATGGGCAGGAGCCTGGGGTCCCTCAGGCAACTGCCCTCGCCTGGGACTGGGCCTGGGTTGGCCTCCGGTCACAAGGCATGGGGCTGGGGCTTGAACTCTGGCCTGTGGCTTCTGCCTTCTGTCCCGGGATCCTGGGTGAGGCCAGAGGGACACTGGGCATGGCCTCGGGAGGCAGGCCCAGGGTGAGGGCAGTGGCCAAGCGTCTGAGTCACAGGGTGGGCAGGGCCTCGGCAGCCCAGGTTAGGACGCTGCCTGGCCCAGGTCGAGCTGGGGAGGGCGTGTCCAGCTTGAGTCAGACTGCCCGGGCCCCACCCTGGCACCCGGGTCGGCTTCCCTTTTTGGGAAGGCAGCCCTTGCTCGCCTGCAGTGTGGGCCGGGGAGGGGAGCGTGGCTCTGGGCCAGAGAGCTCGAGCTTAGCCGTGCGGCCGTAACCAGCCCCAGCCTCTCTGGGCCTTGGCCCCCTCTGGGGTTAACAGGAGACCACTGATCCTGGCTCAGCCTCCTGGCCCGGAGCCCAGTGAACCCGAGTGTCCTGGAACTGAGTCAGTGAGGCAAGAGGGTTCTTGCGCTACCCCCACCCCCGGCAGCAGTTGGACCCTCCCAGCACAGGCCCCTCTCCCCAGCCCAGCGTGTGTCCCCCTGCGCGCTGGCCTGTGCCCTGCGCAGCCCCTCTGTGTACCCACACTCTCCTCCGAGTCCGCCCCCGGCGTATGCAGTTCAGCTCAGACGGCACCTTCTGGAAGTCTCTGGGGCCCTGCAGAAGTAGGGTCCAGGGAACTGGGTGAGAGGCTGCGAGCACGGCTGACCTGCTGGGCCCCTGGGCCCGAGTCACGAGCTGACCTTGCTGCTCTCCCCCACCCCGGCCTCACGCCCCCGGCTCTTGCCACGCCGCCTCCCTGAGGCCGCCCTGGGTCCTCGCCTGGCCCCGTCCCCCTCTCCTGCCTCGGCTCAGACCCCGACCTCAGGGAGCCCCAGAGGCTCGCTCCTGCCCTCCACAGTCAGCTTGCTCGTTTCATTCCTTTTTGACGAGCGGGGCCCGCTCCCCCTTCGTCCGCAGCCCCAGAAGGGTCACACCCCTCTGCTCTGCCCCCAGCCCAGCAGGCTTCACGCACCTGCTGATGTCCTGAGCCGTCTCCCTCTGCCTCCCCGTCTTCCCCGCGGCGCTTCCCTCCCTCCCTCCGGGCTGCACAGTCCCGTGTGGTCTGGGCCTTTGCCCTCCTGCCCCGTCCCCACCCTGCCTCGGCCCCACCCTGTTCCACTGGGCCCCCGATAAGGGGCGGCCAGGCTCTCTCGGGGGAGGGGGTGTAGCAGAAGGCAGACCCAGGAGAGACGGGGTGTACCGCGGCCTCCCTGAGCCCTCTCCGCCCTCCCCCAGGCAGCCAGACAAGCTGGTGGTGGTGTGGACACGGCGGAACCGGCGCACCTGCTCCAAGGTGGGAGCGGGGTCAGTGGGGCCCAGGTCACGGTGGGCGAGTGGGACGGCCGAGGAGTGGGGCGGCGGAGGAGGGAGGCGCCGGCCCATCAGCCCACGCAGGGCGAGAGGGAGGCGCCGGGTTGGAGACGAGGTGCCGCCCTTCGCAGGCCCACAGCTGGCAGCCGGGCATCCAGAACCCATACCGGGGCACCGTGGTGTGGATGGTCCCCGAGAACGTGGACATCTCCGTGACCCTCTACAGGGTGAGTGTCCGTCGCCAGGGCCCCTGGGGAGCCGTCCCCACACACCGGCAGGCGGAGGGGGAGACCAGACGGTGGGCGGAGACCGGGGGTCTGCTTGGAGCACACAGCTGGATCTGGGGGGGCCGGGCCAGCCCCACCCCGCACTTCCTGCGCTGCTCCCCACGACAAGCCTGCGTTCACCCATGCCCCTTCCCCCCAGGACCCCCACGTGGACCAGTACGAAGCCAAAGAGTGGACGTTCATCGTTGAGAATGTGAGTGTCTACGGTGGGCCGGGGCCTGGCACCTCGGGCATCCAGGAAGAACGGCGCTGATGCTCCTCCCTGCCCCCAGGAGTCCAAGGGGCAGCGGAAGGTGCTGGCCACGGCCGACGTGGACCTGGCCCGCCACGCAGGGCCCGTGCCTGCCCAAGTCCCGCTGCGGCTGCGGCTGAAACCCAAGTCGGTGAAGGTGGTGCACGCGGAGCTGAGCCTCACGCTCTCGGGGGTGCTGCTGCGGGAGGGCCGTGCCACGTGAGTGCCCGCCCGCCCGCCCGCCCTGGCGCACCCGGGGCCTCTGACCCCAGCCCTGCCTGACGTCTCGCCCCCAGGGACGACGACATGCAGAGCCTGGCCAGCCTCATGAGCGTGAAGCCCAGTGACGTGGGCAACCTGGACGACTTCGCCGAGAGCGACGAGGAGGAGGCTAACGGCCCCGGGGCCGAGTCCCGGGCACGGGTGCCGCAGCCAGGTGCGCCGACCGGCCACGGCCCAAGGCGGGGGGAGAGCGGCACCCCGGCCGTGCCCGTGCGGGCAGCTCCCTCCCCAGGAGCCCACACCTGTGTGGCCACTCTGACTGCCCAGGCCTGCCCGCCGGCCCCCCAGGCTGGCCCAGCTGCTCAGCCAACCCCTGCAGGGGCGTTCCCAGGCCTCCCCATGTCTATACCTGCCCGGGGAGGGGGGCCAGAAGCACAAAGAGGGGCTGCAGGCCCGTCTTCCCCGTCCACCCCGCTGGAACCGGGCTTCCTCAGCCCTCCCGTGGCTGCTAAGGCTTTTCCTGTCCTCCTGCTTCTCTTTCTCTCCCTCTCTCTCCATCTTGAGCCTGTCTCTTCTCCCAAGGCAGGGGCGGTGCCCCGAGACCGGGGCGTTTCCCAGGTAGGCCCAGACTCTGGTTGGGGGGTGTCGGATCTGCAGGGTCTGCCTGGGCTGACACTGCCCCTCACCCTCCCCTCACCTACTCCAGATCCCTCTCGGGAGCTGAAGACGCTCTGTGAGGAGGAGGAGGAGGGCCGATCGAGGCCCCGGCAGGCAGGTAAGGCCCAGGCGGTGGCCGGTGCTGGGCCCTGGGCCCAAGTCCCGGGCCACACCTCAGTGCACCCCTGCTTGCTGCTTCCACCCCAGCTGCCAGCCCTCCCAGTGCTGAGGAGACCAGCCCGGCCTCTGTGAGTGCCCCAGCACTGCCAGCCAGGTCCTCCCAGGGCCAGGGGTCAGAACCAGCCACTGTAGCGGGGGGCCAGGTGGGGCCTGAGGCCCCCAGGCCCCCAGGAACCCCAGCGGAGACAAGGTAAGCTGCGGGAGCCGCCCGCCCCATCCCTGTCGGGAACTCGCCGTTCCGTGCGCCCACCCCACGATCAGAGGGCGGGGACGTGGCCGAGAGTGGGGGCCAGATGGGCCTCACGATGCCTCCTCTGGTCTCTCCTCAGGTCTTCAGGACAGCTGGGTCAAGATGTGGCCCCCACCCCAGCGCCCCGGCTCCGGAAAGGCTCTGATGCCCCCTACCATCCAGTCCCCCGAGGGGAATATGAGGCTCCCGTGGCCTCGGGGGCTCCTGCTGCAACAGCGGGGCCTGCTGGGGGGACCCAGGCCTGGGCCAACCCTCAACAAGGGGCAGAGGCCCGGGGAGCAGGGCTGAGCCCCAGCGCTGAGGACCGAGGCTCCAGAGACACTCAGGGAGAGCAGACGCCCGAGGCCGAGGAGGGGGGCCCGGGGGACAGGCCGGAGCGTAGAGGAGTAGACGCTGAGCAGGGGTCAGAGGTCAGGGAGGTGAGCGCCGAGGGGCTGGGGGGCAGAGCTGGGGGTGCTGAACAGAATTCAGAAGTTGGCCCAAAGGCTGCTGAGCAGAGCTCGGACGTGAGACCTGTGGACACGAAGGGGCCAGCGGCCCCAGGGGTGACGTCTGAGGCAAGAGCCAAGGGGGCTCCGGAGGCCCCTCCAAGGGGCTCTCAGGGGAAGTTGGGGGTCAAGACCAGGGGCGGTGCCCCCATGATCCTGGGTCCACCCCCAGCAGAGCCTGCAGGACACTCTGGGCATCTTGGTGACCTCAAGGGGGCCAGGGCTGCTGCCGGGCAGGAGGGTGAACGTGCAGAGGTGAGGGGCAGTGCCCCTGATATTGGGGGGACCAGCCTGGAGCAGGTCCCCTCTCTTGGAGAAGCAGATGCCGGGCCCCAGGTGAGCAGGTCTCAGGGGCCCCTCTCAGCAGCTGGCCAGGGGGCAGTACCTAGGGGTCTGGGAGTTTGGGGGGCAGAAACTGGGGATTTGAGGTTACCGGGAGCAGAGACCGTGGAGGCAGAGGTATTGGTGACCCCAGAGACAGAGCCTAGGACAGCAGAGGAGGGGGTTCCGGGGGCCCCGCAGACATGGGCAGGGAGCTCAAGGCTCCTGGGGCCAGAGGGCGCTGGGACAGCAGAGTCAGGGGGACCGAGAACCCAGAAAACAGAGGCCAGGGGCTCAGGAGTGCCGGGGACAGAGGTCGGGATGGCAGCGGCTGAGATGTCTGGGCCTGTGGTGGTATTTGGGGACCCGGGGATTCTTAAGGCGGCTGAGGTAGCAGACTCTGAAACACTGGGAGGCCAGGTGACAGAAGTAGGCAGTTCTGGGGTGCCGGCAACAGCGGCTGAGATAGTAGGAACTCAGGAGACAGAGGTGCGGGCTTTGGGGCTTGCAGGGGTAGAATCTGAGGTAGCGGGCATCCAGGGAACAGCGGTAGAGGGCTTTAGGGCTCCAGAGTTTGAGACAACAGACAGTGAGCTATCGGGGACCCGGAAGATAGCAGCTGAGGGATCAGTGGCCTTGGGGATAGAATCGGAGACAGCAGGAGCCCAGGAGGCAAAGGGGGGGTGTCTGGGAGTCCCCAAGACAGAGGCTGGGGTCACAGAGGCTGACAGGTTGGGGGCTCAGCAGACAGAAACTACACTTTTTAAGACTATGACTTTGGGGGCCCAGAAGGCAGAGTCTGAACTCTGGGGGACCCTCAAATATGGGGCTTTCACCAAGCATGGAGTTTTAGGGTCTCAGGGAACAGAGGCAGAGACTACAGTTTTGAAGGTGCAAGAGGCAGAGACTGGTATTTTAGGGGGTTCAGAGGCCAAATCTGGGAATTGGGGGGCCCAACAAGCAGAGGCAAAGTTTTTGGGGCCTCCAGAGAACCAAGCTGATATTTCCGAGGCCCAGGAAGCAGAGGCCGATGTCTCAGAAACCGAGAGGGAAAAAGCAGTGGAGGGAAACCTCCCCGAGCCCAGTCCAGCTGCAGAGCAGGCGGCCGGTGGGGCAGGGGCTGGGGTGCCCAGGCCCTCGGGGGCCCCTTCCCCAGAGGAGCCTGAAGAGGACAGAAGGCTGCCCGGCAGCCAGGTAGGGATGGAGGCCGCTGAGGGCCCAGCCTGCTGCTTTCCACTAACCCGGGCTGGGCGGACGGCGGCCCTGCATGGACCCACCTGTCGGCCAGGGCGGGGCCCAGTGGCCATGAGCCCCACACCCTCTCAGGGTGCCCTGCCCCCCCATCCTGCCTTCCCTGTGCTGCATGGAGCGGGACCCCCAGCTGATTTTCTGGGCTGACCTTGAAGTGTGGCTGCTGGTGACTTTTGACCTTGCCTGGGGGCCAGTGACCTTTCAGGTGACCTCTGTAGATAACCCTGGATCTGAAGACCCTTTTGGGCAGGTGGCCGAGGCTCTGGGCCATGGTCCCCGTGACTCCTGCGGACTCCCAGCTGGGCTGTTTTGTGCCTGAGGGGCAGAGGGCACCGGTCCCTCATGCCCATCCCCTGAGCCCAGCTCTGTGTCCCCAGGCGCCAGCTGCCCTGGTCAGCTCCAGCCAGTCCCTGCTGGAGTGGTGCCAGGAAGTCACCGCTGGCTACCGTGGAGTTCGGGTCACCAACTTCACCACATCCTGGCGAAACGGCTTGGCCTTTTGTGCCATCCTGCACCGGTTCTACCCAGAGAAGATGTGAGCTGCCCTGGGGGAGGGGAGGGGGAGGAAGCAAGGAGGGCACTGGCCCCAGCCCTGACCAGAGCGCTCTCTGCAGTGACTTCGCCTCCCTGGACCCTCTCAACATCAAGCAGAACAACAAGCAGGTGAGCTGGTGGACAGCCCCGGGGGGCGAGCCCCACAGGTCCGCAAGCCCACAGGGTCCCCAGCCTGCAGGGGTCAGAGCGG